GTGTGTGTGTGTGTGTGTGTGTGTGTGTGGCAGTGAGGTTTCATAACTGGTGTTAATCATATGTCACAGATGCTGTCTGTGTGTGTCTCTAGTTTCCTGTGTCACACAGAGGAAACCAGACTCTTCATCGCTGGTGCAGAGAATCGACGACAGCGAGATAAAAACTCTGCGACTGAGGTGAAAACATCGGAGCTTCAATGAACCAGGATTAGAAAGTAAGATCGCTCACATCAAGTTTAAAGAAATGTGGCTTTAGGGTTTTGAAAAACTTCAAACTGAGGTCCACTGATATGCTGAACATAATATATGTCCTCTGATGGTTTTACATTTACAACAAGTCACTTTTTTAAAGTTTGTAAGACACTTGAAATATACTGTTCTACTCTTTGATTTCACTGATCAATAATAGATCAGCTGCTAGACGAATGTTTCAAACTGGGACGTTATGTCTGAAGTCTGGTCGTCTGATTTTCATTCATCGGTCGTTCTTGACATGGGTCTTAACTTTTCCTCTTAATGGTCCGAGAAAGAGTTGAGTCACTGAAACCTGCAGCAACGCTGTGAGTGGATGGGAAGATTTCCCAGAGAATAATTCAAAGAGTTTCATGACACAACTCAGGTTTATTTAGGGGACTGATGTCTGAGAGGGGGAGATTTGTTGTGGATCCAAAAATAATCTGAATCTAGCAGTGGTTTCATGAGGGGGGGGGGGTTCTTTCAGCTGCTGCAGTAACAAACGGGGCTGGAACCTATAACTAACACAGATTCAGATCAGTAAATGTTTATGTGAAACATGTCCATGTTCTCTGCAGGCTGCGTCTCCATGTCCGCAGTGACGCCCTCCGCTGTCCCAGCTCCGGCTCTGGTCCAGATCCAGCTCGGCCTGTTCAGGGAGGTGGTTCGAGTCCCTGCTGGGAACCTTAGCTACCGCCATGCAAAGAGGCTGGCTGCAGAGGTCATAGAGCGGAAGGTATCATCACAAATTCACTGGAGGCCTCTTTTCTCACTTTTAACCGGAGCACAGTGAGGGCGTGATGCATTAATGTCTGTCTTTAGATGCATTCATGTCTTTACACGTGAAGTTTAGTTAATTTACCAAGTTCAGTTCGTGAAACAGTTGAATGTTGAGTCTTTGGGACGTTGTTTGTCACTGAACCTTCATCTGTTCCAGTCTGGCTGCAAAAGCATCGCTGGTAATAAAACAAAATGAAAACCTGCTTCAACCCTTAAAGTACATTTTAAATTATTAATCTGAAGTTGTGAGTTTGACGTCTCGGGGCCCCTGAAACAGGAAGACATCTAACGTGTCTGACGTGGTTTGAATAGTTCATCGATGCTCTGAACTGTGGTGGTGGTGATATAAAGTTGGTGATGAGGTGTTTCTCTCAGTGGAGGCTGGTCTGCTACGATGTCTTTGTCAGCGCGTGGTCGTCAAGCGCAAATAAAACTTTCCGACCACAGCCTCTCCCTACGCAGGTTTGATGTTGAGTTTCCAGGCAGCAGGTCAGCACTGTGAAGAATGTGGTTTCTGTGTGTGTGAGTGTGTGTGTGTGTGTGTGTGAGTGTGTGTGTGTGTTCACTGTACACTAACCTCACAGCGTGAGAGCAGGGCTGCAGCAGGATGAACTCACTGTAGCTCTGGGACACATCCCCTTTGTAACCTGCTTCTTTCAGCTGAGACAGAACTGAACCTGTGCTATCCCTCAGAAACATCAGTCCACTTGTATTTCTCAGTCCGTCCGAGTCCGTCTCCCGCTGGTGATGTCGTGGCGAGACAAATACTGACACTAGTCCTTATTCTCTCCTCCTTCCCTGACATTCTTTAAACTTTACACGATCGTGATGGACAGAACTCGGCTGATCGAGTTTTATTTTCGTTGTCATATAATGAATTTCTGACTCCTCGTGTACTTTCCCTGCTCGGTTTGGATTCAAACCAACAACTTCATGATTTGTGTGACTTGTGTGTGAACGTGCAGAGCTCAGAGTTCACGTGTGATCAAAGAGAAACTCAGTTTTATGTCAAGTCGATGTTTTCAGGCTCCAGACTGCAGCGTGGTCGGTGTCGGGGAGAAGATTCTGCTGTTCAGACATCAGCCCGACTCCGAGCTGCAGCGTCTGACCAATCAAGACGAGCTGCAGGACGGAGACCTGATCGAGGTCGTCATCGCAGGTCAGAGGTCAACAGCATTGGGGGGGGGGGGGGGGGGGTTGTAGTGTTTGTATTTACATGTGTCCACTAATCTGCAACACGTTGGAGCAGTCAAAGAACTTACCGTCTCTCTCTGAACTGACCCAGGGTCAGCCTCGGTGACTGCGATGAGGATCCGTCCTCACTCCCTGGTGGTCCAGTCGTACCGGACCCCCACCTTCTGTCATCACTGTGGAGAGATGCTGTGGGGCCTCGTTCGTCAGGGGTTGAAATGTGACGGTAAAGCTCGTCACTCCCTTCACCTCAGTGGTGCCATGAATCCAGCGTGTGTGAAACATCATGTTCACGTTTTCACTCATTCACGAGCCCCCCCGCCCTGCCTCTCTGCAGGTTGTGGATTAGACTTTCATAAACGCTGCGCTTTCCTGTTGCCCAACGACTGCAGCCGAGCACGACGTCAGGTCAGCACCAGCCTCTCTCTGTTTCCTCTCCGACGACCACGAACACACTCCCTCTCCAATCAGGCAGGAGGCAGCCTGGAAGAGGTAAGAGAGGGGAGACACCTTCTTTCTTATTCTACAGTCGACTGGTGGAGCATCTGATGGTTCTGTCCTCCTCCAGATCAGCATCACCCGGCCCTCCTCCAGGCCTCCGTCCTGGGCAGAGCCTCCGGTGTGGCTGGGGGTGGGCGGTGGTGACAGCAAGGCTCAGGTGCCTCACACCTTCCACATCCACAGCTACACCAAACCCACCGTCTGCCAGTACTGCCACCGGCTGCTCAGAGGGCTCTTCAGACAGGGGCTGCAGTGCTCAGGTGACGCAGCTGAGGGAATTCTTCCTCTCGGCTTAAATTCCTGGACGTGTCTCAGAGAGAAACTGTAAAACACGTCCCTGCTCTGTCTTGTTCTATCTTTTTACATGTGTCAAGGTTCTGTGTCTTCACCGACAGCAGCTTCCTTGTTTTTCTGCCGCTGTGTTTGAACCCATCGCCTCTGCTCCTTCTCTCAGACTGCAGGTTCAACTGCCACCGCCGCTGTGAGCCTCTGGTCTCCAGAGACTGTCCGGGCGAGAGGAGCCGCAACAACGGGGAAGGTGAGCAGCGGTTTCACAGAGAGTCTGATGTTCTCATAACGCTGCGATGAGTCAAAGATGACTCACCCGCCTCAAGAACCTCTGACAGATTCAGGACTCTAATTTTTAAATTCCCACAAACATCACATTTGTCGGGGGGGGGGGGGGGGTGATGGGATCAGATTTTACCAGATGATATGATCATAACGTGATGTGGTGTCTTCTTCCTGTGGTACGAGCCCGTCACTGAATGAAACCACCGTTATTTCACGTTATAAACTTGATTTAGATTATTGTTGTACTTTAGACCTAAAATACACGTTTCTGTTTCTAAAATATATTTTGCAGCTTTTGTGTCAAACTAAGTAATTCAATGAAACATTCTTTCAAACGTTCACTGCAACTAATTTAAAACAATCAATGGATGCTGATCAGTCACAGGCCTCTTGATGTTTTTTCCCAGAATCCCCAGCAGCTGGTCGCAGCGGTCCTCTAGACCCAGAGGACGATGAGCTCATCAGCACGCCACACATCTCTGATGACGAGATGTCCTCTGACAGCGAATCCCCCGCCGACACCAAGGAAGTGCAACAATGGCGAGAACCAATGAGGTCAGAGGGCCGCTAATTTATTCTGATGATGTCATCCCATCTGACAGGTGACACTGGTGATGATGTCATGAGGTCGCAGCTGTTGTCGAGTGCCACACACACACACACACACACACACACACACACACACTTCCTATTTGCTGCCATGCATCACTGCATACGTCTGATGGCCAACATAAGTGAGCTGTTTGGACACACTGCCCCCTAGAGGCGTTCAGGGTGTTGGGAGAAAAGTGACAAATTCCTTTTTAATGTGAAAATGAGGCTCTTTGATTGACTTCCTGTTTGGTCCTGTGTCTCCATCAGTCCGTGTTTCAGCAGCAACATCCCTCTGATGCGTCTCGTCCAGTCGGTGCATCACAGTAAGAGGGGAGCCGGCGGAGTCCTGAGGGAGGGGTGGCTGCTGCATCACACCAGCACGGACACCATGGTGAGAAACTTTACTCCTGTTCAAACTAAACTTTTCTCACAAAAAGTCTCTCCTGACACGAACACTCAGTTTGCTCATTATCTTGTTTGTCACTTTAAATGTTTTATGTTTCTCAGACTTTACATCTGCTTCATATTTATCTGTGGACGTGTTCAGTGTCTTATTTAACATGACAATAAATGGAAACTTAAATTCATTTCTCACATACACACACGTGATGGAACATACGTCTCTGCTTGTTCTGTCCTTGTTGACATGTTGGGACCTTAAACACATGTATGTTCAAATATAGATAGATAGATAGATAGATAGATAGATAGA